ANGTACCATACATGATTTTATGTACAAATCAGCTTTTTTTTTTTGTTTCCTAGTCAAGTTGCGGAAATCACACCCGGGTGAAGGGATTGAGGTTGGAATGAACATGATGATTTATAAATATTTACAATTTTTTGCTATAGTATTTTTGAACGAAGATATTTTTTTTCATTGCAACATATACTGAATATATACCAACATAAACCCAACATATACTCACCTGAACAGTTGCGCGAAATACAATTGCGCGAATTACAATTACGCGAATTAAGGAATTAAAGGAGTTAATCTCTCTCTTAATCAAGTCCATAAAAAGGAAAATTAAATGAGTCAATCTCTCTCTTAATCATGCCCATAAAAAGGGGGATGATGGTTGAATGAATATGGTAACTGACTTTAGGCATTAGTGTAGTTATATATTATCTATTAGGTAAAGATGTAATTATTTATTTATGAATTGTATTTTTACAATTTTTTTAGAATCTTATAGGATAGATGTAAATTTCCCAAGATAAAAACTCCTCAATTAAGCAGCCCACAAGTAAGATTGAAATTTGTAGTTGGGCTGATAGCCCAAACCCGCACACTCCGTTGCCCTAACCCTGATACCATCTTCTTTATTTATACAGAAAATCATAAAACCCTCTCACTAGTCCACTCCCGTCCCTGAAACTTACGCATTAGAGAGGTTGATCTATTGATTACTGAAGAAAAATGGAGGGCGCAGTAGTTACAGCAGCACCCAATCAGCTGCCGGTAGAGAAGATTCACAGCGATGTTATGCTCTTTAACCGCTGGTCCTACGACGACGTTGAGGTTCAATTTTTATCTCATCTGAAAAAAAGTGACCATCTCATTGGTTTTCTAGGGTTTTGTGATGAGTTTGTGGTGAATTTGTTGGTTATCTTTGATGTAATTTGGAATTACTCGTAATTTAGTGTAAACGCTGTTTGCACTGTGAATGCTTGTTCTTTCGAGTTGTGATTAGAGTTCAGTGAGTGCAGTCTCAAATTTGTGGTGACCCTTGTGGTATTGATTGGGAAGTAATACATTAACAGCTTGAAGTGATTATGGCGATCCCCCCTTTTCTATTTGTTGCTTATGAAGCTTAGCAGTTATGGTTTTACCCGCTTGCTCAATTGAATCGTTGATTTAACACATTTAGATACACTAGAACAGCCGGTATGTGTATAATGCCATTAATGTATGTATTTATGTACATTCTGAGGTTGTTTACATTCAAGTTTCAATAATGATAGAATTGCTATTTTTGACATTCTTGATTGAGAATGTTTATGTGGTTCATAGGTCAAGGACCTTTCTGTTGAAGATTACATAACAGCAACAGCCTCCAAACATCCGATCTACATGCCCCACACGGCCGGAAGGTACCAGGCCAAGCGGTTCAGGAAGGCCCAGTGCCCCATTGTGGAGAGGCTGACCAACTCTCTCATGATGCATGGTCGTAACAATGGCAAGAAGATGAAGGCTGTCTCCATTGTCAAGCACGCCATGGAGATCATCCACTTGTTGACTGATGCTAACCCTATTCAAGTTATTGTTGATGCTGTGATCAACAGGTATCAACTAGACCACTCGCCTTTCACTGTACATTTATTTATTTGATACGATTTACTTGTCTGCCCTCTCAGCATGAGGGTTTTGTTCATTGTCCGTGGGTATTTTGCTTTTAGTGAAAGATGATGGATTTAGATCAAGTATGCTTGATGAAGACAAGATGAAATGCTGGAGATTCATGAAAGAAAAATTTTAATGTTTAATAAGTCTTACATGTAAATCAGACGCAGTGTGTGTGCAAATGAATTTCTAATTTATAGTTGACAATCCTGCATCCTCAATTATATTTTCCTAAAGCAGTGTTTTCTTATCATCTCGATGCACACAAGGGGAAATGCCAATCTTGTTCATCATTGCGAATCATTTTTGTGGCACTCAAGTACATTCTTTTTCTATTTATTAGTAATTTGAACTCTATTTTTCTTGTTTTATTCAGTGGGCCCAGAGAAGATGCAACCAGAATTGGGTCGGCAGGTGTTGTTAGACGTCAGGCAGTTGATATTTCCCCTCTTCGACGTGTGAATCAGGCGATATACCTTCTGACGACTGGTGCTCGGGAAAGTGCTTTCAGGAATATTAAGACTATTGCTGAATGTCTTGCTGATGAGCTCATCAATGCTGCAAAAGGTTCTTCCAACAGGTAAACCAGTTTTCCTTCGAGTTCTTTAATGTCTCGTTTGGTTTTAGATTTTCTTTTGATCCAATATCGATAGCACGGTTAGGTTCTAATTCCCGTTGTTTTGTTGTAATATGCAGCTATGCCATCAAGAAGAAGGATGAGATTGAGAGGGTCGCCAAGGCAAATCGTTAAGAGCCTTATTAGTCATCATGATCAACAGTTTCAGTTTTTACTTCAGTTTTAGGATGTTGGAACATACTGGGAGTTGAGGTTTTAGATTATGTTGTCATGGACCTTTTGTTTAGCTAAATTATCAATTGGATCTGTTTTCTTCATCATGAATTATATATGTTTTGGCTGCTGAACACCTTTTTGGATATTAATATTTTGTTTATTGCGGTTTTTTATAGCTTCGTTTTATATTTGATACCCAATTTTGAAAGTATGATTGTTGATGCATTAAATTTTGGTATGTCATAGTTTTAATGTTTTTGATTCTTCTTGCCAATTAAAATTCTCAAAATTATTTATTTCTTGAATGGCAAATTGACAAATGCCTGAATACTATTGAACATGCACACAAAGTCGATAATAAAAATCAATAGGTATTGGAGTAGGCATTATTGTGCCCTCTGTCTCCATAACTTAGTTTTATTTCTACACTAAGCATCCTATGAGGATGCATAATATTCTCACAAACTAGATGTATGGAATCTGAAAGAAGAAAAAAAAAAAAAAAAAAAAAAAAAAAAAGAAAAGGGAAACCAAGAAACAGCTTCCTCTCTCTCTCTCTCTCTGTTTTATTTTACCTTTTCGAGTTCTCATTCTTGAAGAAGCTGGAAAAACACTCATCTACTAAGCCGATTATGGCAAGTTGCGGCTGGAAGCTCGATCGTCCTACTAAGCAACTTTCATGGGTGATCCAGATGAACTAACCCGAACCAGATGCTCGTCTGATGAATTACAGAGGAATTTTCCCTCGATCGATGCTGACCATTTCATTTCCATGAAGTTCCTCTTTCTCCACGGCCCCAGATGTATCTTTCTCTCCTTGGCCGACTTCTTGGCCGCTTCACAAACCACACGAATCACGGCATTCATGTGTTCGGTTTTGCCTATGTAGATTTCGGGCAGCTGATCGGTCAGTTTATTGTACTCATCACAGGCTTTTGCCATCTTGAACTCGTCCTGGAACCCTAATTCTACCACGAACTTCACGTGCTTGCTTCTTGATTTCGTGCTCACGAGTACTTCAATGTATTCATGAGTCCCTGCATAAATGAAATAGCCAGTCGAGCTCTCTTTTTTTTTTTTTTTTTNGAAACCTTTGCTGCATAGCTGATTAACCACAGTATGCCTTAGGCAGTTATTACAACAGCCTCTCAGGTTATTGTCCAAACAATTGCAGAAGTTGGAGCCTTTAGCTATGTCTATGTTTCTTTTTATTTGTTCCTTCAACTTTCCACAACTTGAGTTGCATTGATCCAATATTTCCTTGAAAAAATTAGAAAATTTAGAATTCAGCGCATGGAAAAAGGGTTTAACTGATTAAAAAAAAAAAAAAATACAGTCCATTCCATTGGACTAGATCTCCTAAATTGCCTGATGAAAAATTGTCTCGAAAATAGCTAGATATATTAAATGAAATGAGCCCGCTTGTGAGCTCGATCTGGCTCGTTAAGACTCAAGTCGGCAGAGTTTCAGCTCGTTCAATAATGAATTAGGCTGGATTGTAACTCTGTAATTACTTTGGGCTTTGCCTTTGTCGTTCAATAATGAATTAGGCTGGATTTTAACTCTGTAATTACTTTAGGCTTTGCCTTTGTTAATATTATTAACCGTTAGCGGAAAAAAAATAATGAATTAGGCTTGAAAAATAATGATTTTAAGTAATTTCTATGAACTTATAGCATAATTAGGCTTAGGCTTGAAAAATAGTGATTGTAAGTAATTTTTATGAACTTAATAGCATAATTAGGCTTGTTAAGGCTCGATGAAACTCGAGTCTTAATTTCTTTGAATTATTCCAAGTCCAGGCACTTCTCGAGGTGCTTTTATGATAGTGATCATCCACTTGACAGAATTTATTACTTTCTTTGGATTTTTTTGCTCCTGTTAACATGAGGACTTTAGCTGGACACAACCAACATTTATGCAATTATGCCATGGTTGACTTTGATTAGTACAACATAAGTTGATATATATATATATACATAGGGAGTGGTTTAAATAAAAACTTCTTCTGGTGTGAGAACCGTGAGAACCATATTTGATGCTATTTTTAATTGTGTATGATGTTATTTTTAATCTTACATGGTGCTATCATTTTTACAAATGCTAAGTTGCTATTTTTAATAAAATACATCCTGATTAAAAATAACACTAAATACAATCAATCATAGCACTAGATACCATTAAAAATAGCGGTTCTCACGGTTCTCACGCTAGGACTTGGTTCTCATTTGAACCACATCCTATATACATATATATATATATATATAGGGGCTGGTTCAAATAAAAACTATGTCTGGTGTGAGAACCGTGAGAACCATATTTGATGCTATTTTTAATTGTGTATGATGCTATTTTTAATATTACATGATGCTATCATTTTCATAAATGCTAATAAAAATTTTGTTGCTATTTTTAATCAAATACATCCTAGTTAAAAATAGCACTAAAACACAATTAATCATAGCACTATATACAATTAAAAATAGCGGTTCTCACGGTTCTCACACTAGGACTTGGTTCTCATTTGAACCACATCCTATATATATATAT